CATCCACTTCAATTAGACCCTTTGTTGAATAACAGTAAAATGTACTCCATATAACCTTTAAATCCTCACTTGTCTTTAGTTCAAGCTTGTTGAACAATATCTTCCCTTCGTAGTAAATCAAGGGTGATTAATACTCAAGCTTGGTAAATCTTCTATTTTTTAGATATCGTAGGAGAATATTTAATTTGGATTTAAAATAGAGGAGAAGATATGTCTTCAGATACCCTAAATTGAAGTGGGGGCTTTGTGCCATTGAAATACACAAAGCAAGATGGAGATGTGTATTCATTTTATTTTATTGTGTTTTTGTAAAGAACAAGGAAGGAGATACCCCTTTTTAATGAAGTTTTAAATCAATTTGGACCTTAGAAAAAATATCTTTTATCAAGACATATTTTGGATATGCATATTCAGACACACGTTATGTTTTTTACAAAATAAGGGTGTTTACAGAGATGCACATCTGTAAATCTCCTATTTCATTTTTTTACAATTAAAATGAGGTGTGTCTGGAGATGCATGTCAAGACTCACCCAAAGTAATATTCATAGAGAATCAGTATAATATGAAGGGTAAAATTTAGAAACAGAAAAAGTGTCCAAAAATTACTCCCAAATTCTACAACATTAAAGTAGAATAAACATTATGTATGTCACAAATTACATCGAGATTACATCATTGACAATATTACATAAAAAATGAGTTACATTATTAGATAAAAATTAAAATATATAAAAATATGTGTCACTATCTAAATCTATTGGTGGTTCTTTATTTGACCCTTCCTTATTTGACTCTTTTTTAATGTTTCTCAATTTGGAGAGCACTTCTATAATTTCCAACAAGTGATATGGCCAAGTTTCAGCATCTTGTGTGAAATGTGTCATCCACATCGATGATGTCTTTGGTATATGATATCCTGATTTCAAACAAATTTGAACGATAATGTTATGTTTTTGAAAGCCATCCTATACACATGATGCGTCCGAGTAGATTTTGAGGTAACCTACTCTTAAGTGAAAAAAAGTTTCTGAGAAACTGTATATTGTTAGATCAATCCACACCCTATCATAAGCACTTGCTATAAGACCTCCCATTTTTGGGAAGCGCGTCAAATTTTCAAATGGTACCATACTAATAACACGAGGAACAATAACATTGAGAATCACATCATAATTTTCGTTTTCCCCGTATAGTGATGTGTATGATTACCTATGCATCTTCAACTCTTGTATAAGTTGATGGTGGAAAATTGGTGGTCCCCCTCTCCTTTACTGAGCAAACCCAAAACATCTTAAAAACCACATTTATATTCACCTTTAACATCTACAATCCTCTCAATTTATTTATGCATAAAAAGAAGATCCTCTTCAATGTGGATGATTTTTGGTAATGATGGTGGAGGAGATGGTTTGCTAATGCGAGCATCCTTAAAAACATTTTTTGAGATGTTGGGGTTGGAGAATCTAGAAAATGTGAGTCAACATATTTCCTAGTATGAAGAAGATTGTCTCGTAGAGTTATCACGATGTGTCGGTTTAACCTTTTTAGGGGCACCCTTTATTTTAACTAGTACCGATGGTGGTTTCAAATTCATTATTTATGGGTAGGAAATCTTCCACAACTTCTCTTTGATGCGTAATTTCATGACGCTATCAACTTTTGAAAATCTCTCTTGGATTACTACCTATTCTGTCATAATAGGTATACTTGATTTATAATCCTTCATCACACCATCATCATTAAACCAAAGTCTTTTCTAGTGAGTGTAAACTTCATCCATACATATCAGTTTATCAAGCTTCGTCTTCTTTGAAATAAAACAAACACATGGAAAATCGTGCATATTTCTAAGTGTACAACCATATTTTAAGCCATCTGAAACAATTTTATCTTATCGTTTGGCTTCGTGAAAAATAAAATTCAATCTCATTTGAGATATGCTACCAACCAACTATGAATAAAGTATATTATCTTTGAATCGGTGTTCTAACACAATAATGCTCCGACCAAAGATGTGTGTATCTTGCTATGTTGGTTTCAGAGCATTTGTTTCACGATATCCCAATATCCACAAAAATAAACTTTATTTTTTCCCAACCAATTCTTCAGTGTAGCATGTGCATATTCAACTTTATTAGTTATTGTATTGCCAAAGTGTCTAACCTGATCGGTCCAGGCACAAACAATCTTCTCCTTCATCTGATCCAAAATAGTACTCTCAACATATTTCAGGAAATATGGATATCTCGCACACACTTTCGTGAAATGTATTATAGATTTGGCATATAACTCTTTCGTGGAATAATTTATATTTCCATTCCATGCATCCATTATCTTTTCAACACCACACAAGGTTTGGACATTTTCCATCTTTACCTTTAATTTATTTGGTTCCTATTGTGGGTTTTAGTCGACTTCTCACATTTTTTGTTATGTGATACTTACAAAGTAGTGCATATAACGTAGGAAACATTGTTGTAAACGAATTCATCAGTATGGTTTCACGATCGATGATAATTACATTTGGCATTTTTTTATATTTACAAAGCTATGTAACATTGTCCTATTTATCGAATTCAAAAAATGAAAAGCCAACTGAAAAAGTCATCTCTGTAGAAGTAACACCAATAATTTCTAAGAGTAAAAGTCTATACTTGTTTGTTTGTATGTTGAATCAATTATGAGAACAATGGAAAATATGTTGAACAACTTGATGGAATCAGGATGAGTTCAAAATAATCTCGAACTATGACTTTATCCTCACAAACTATGTAGCTAGAAACATAGTGGTCATCTTCCAAAAGCTTCAACAGTTGTTGCATTTCATATCTTGGACCACTTATCGTCTTGTTGTTTCAGACACACATTGTATACTTGTTTGATATTTGAAATATTTTGAGGTCTTTTCCACTTAAAAATTGCAAGTATGTTTTTTGGCGCCACCATGTTTACGGTTATGTCCGAAAAAAGCTCATTCTCCTCTAGAATGTGAAATGGGATTACCGGCTAGCTTGTCATTCAACACATGATTATGTATACCATGTGTTATTCTCCTTACAGTATCCGTATAATTTAAACCCACATTTTCTTGATCTGACGTCATCACGTTTCAATTTCCTAAACAGTGGTTGGTACATGCCACTTCTTTCGCACCTCATTGTTACAAACGCTTGTCTTCTATTAGAACCATTGTCATACCTTCTGATTACAACACCAGACCCCAATTTCTTGGTCTTCATGCAGACCCAAGAATAACAGAAAAACAAATAAAAAAACTCAATGTATCAGGCACATCCAGAGATAGATCTCCAGATCAAATGAAACTGAGTCCGGAGATGTATATTCGACTAAACGTTTATATTTTCAGCTAAAAACACATTAATGCGAGGAATGAGGGATGACATGAATGAACTTTACCTTAATTTTCAGCTTCTTTTGCTCCCTTTGATGTGATAAAATACAAGAATGATGTTTTTGTGTTGAAAAAGATTGAGAATGGAAGAAATTTTGTTTAAGGGTTTTAAAGGTGAAGCTTCCTTTGACCATGAGGGAAAAGAACATGCAAAATAGTGTTTTATCCGATTTTCCGCTTAACATTTATGAATATACATTTTCGGAATCGTCACCAGGGTGTTAAATAAACTAGCTCAGTAAATAAAAATTTTGTAAATAAATATTAGGAATGCTACGAAGATGCATCTCTGGATATACTCCAAATAATTCTCTATAAGAGATTTTGAAAGAAAAAAATAGAGTGACTGGTAAAAATACGATGAATAGTATATTTTAGATGGTTTCAAACATAAAAAAAAAAATTTCAAAATTTTAAAAGTATGAGACAGAATATATGGTGTGAGATGAATATTTCCCTTATCATAAAAAAATCACAATTAAATATATTTCTTGGTCCATTGATTAACTTTTAAGTTCAACCAGGTAAAATATAGCCTAAAATGAACCTAGTTTTCACACCTCTATTTACATTTTCGGTTAAATATTTATCATCCAATATTTTCTTCTCCTATTATAAGACTCAATTACAAAAATTTACTAATATTAAAAAATTATTAATAATAAAAAATTGTATAAAATGTATTACTTTTTATATTACTACATGCAATTAATGATATTATAAGAGATAAATAAATTAAAGTTTTCCATTTCTCAATAAAATAAATATATTTTAAAAATAAATTATTAAAACATGAGAAAAGGAGTATGCACTGTCGGTATAAAATATTTTTACACCGTTAACGAATTAGAGGCGTGTATCAAATTAAGTCACACTTTCAATTTAAAAAAAAAATATTAGATATATTTTTTTAGGTGTGATTTATACTTTTTTTCAATAAATATATAACAAGCGTATAATTTCTTCATATTTGTAATTTCTTCTTATTTTTACTCATTAAAAAATATTTAAGTATATTTGTCATATTTTTATTGAAGAAAAGTATGAACTATATCTATGAAATTATATTTAAATATTCTCTATTTAAAAATATTAATATTACATATTATAATTCTATTGAATGATAATATAAAATAAATTTACATCGACAGTTGATTATCTTTAATCTCTTAAAACATACTATATATTTTTTAAAATCACCATATATTAAAATAAAAGATGGATTTTATAATTAAAAAAGGAGCTAGTATTCGCAATTACAAGTTTTATTATGTATTTCCATCAACAACAAAAATATTATTATAGTAGTCGCAATTACAGTTTTATATTGCACACTCAAGCCATTGTTCAAATTTTGAATAATTTGGGTATTTAATAGAAAATATTGGAGACAGCTTTAACAAGCGCATCTGGTGTAGTGGTATCATAGTACCCTCCCACGGTACTGACCAGGGTTCGATTCCCTGGATGCGCAATTTTCATTATTTTTCAACTCATATTTATGTATATACAAAGCGCAAGCATGCGCTAAAATGAAGAGAATAATAAGGAATGCGCGTGTGGTTTTTTCAGTTCAGCCTTATAATCAAGCTATATAGTTGATTATCATAGACATAGGAACTAAGCAAAACCCTTTTTTATTCAGTTCTGAATGTTCATTACTAGTATCCCTTTCTTTAAATCCCACTTCATCCCTCTCATCTTTTTCTCCTTCAGTATTTCCTTTCTCCTACATAAACAAATCACATTAAAATGACAATATGTTACTTGAAAAATATTCACCACTATTAAATCACTTCACACTATAAGCATTGTTTAAAAGAACGGCTAAACCACTATTAAATCACTTCATACTATAAGGATTGTTTAAAATAATCGAATTATTATTAATGGTTAATGAATCAAATTTATATTTTATTAATGGTTCTAGAATTGAATTATTAAGCAATTAATCAACCCAAAATAATTTTGAACCAACCCTTTATTACTTAAATTTTAAAATTGATATTTTTTAAAAAAAATAAAAAAAATCAGTTTTTTCAAAAATAAAAAATAAGTAAATTTTTTCAAAAATCAAAAAGTCAATTTTTTTGAAAATCAAAAAATCGGTTTTTTACAAAAGTCAGTTTTTTCCGAAGAAAAAAAATTGATTTTTTCGAAAATAATAAAAAAAATTAGATTTTTCGAAAATCAAAAACTCGATTTTTTCAAAAATTAAAAAAGTCAATTTTTTTTAAAATTTCAAATTTCAAATTTTTTGAAAATTAAAAAGTCATTTTTTTTCGAGAATAAAAAAGTCGGTTTTTTCAGAAAATAAAAAAAAAAGATTTTTTAGAAAATAAAAAAGTCGATTTTTTAGAAACTAAAAAAGTCGATTTTTCGAAGAAAAAAAAATCGTTTTTTTTATCGAAAATCAAAAAGTCATTTTTTTTGAAAATAAAAGAAAATCAATTTTTTCGAATATCAATAAGTTGCCTTTTCCCAAAAAAAAAATTGTTTTTGCGAAAATCAAAAAGTCAATTTTTTCGAGAATCAAAAAGTTAAATTTTTCGAAAATCAAAAAGTTGATTTTTTTGAAAAATAAAAAAGTCACTTTTTTTCAAAATCAAAAAGTCGCTAATTTTGAAAATTAAAAAGTCGATTTTTTTCAAAAATAAAAAAAAAGAGTCAATTTTTCGAAAAATAAAAAAGTAGATTTTTTCGAAAATAAAAAAGTCGGTTTTTTAAAAAAATAAAAAAAATACTTTTTTTGAAAATCAAAATGTCAATTTTTTCAAAAAAAAACAATTTTTCCAAAAATAAGAAAGTCAATTTTTTTTTAATTCAAAAAGATCAATTTTTTCGAAAATAAAAAATCCGATTTTTTTTAAGATCAAAAAGTCAATTTTTTAAAAATTTAAAATTCAATTTTTTTCAAAAGTAAAAAAATCGATTTTTTCGAAAATCTAAAAAAAATATTTAAATAAAACTTTTATTGAAAAAAAATCAAAACTAAATATAACAGTTTAGTTTTTTTAACAAATTGTTCAATTTATAATAAATTGATTTTTAATGATTTGATACAGTTCGAAATTTTAAATCGTCATACCAAACCGAAACTTTTAGTTCAGTTCAAATTTAAAAAAATTAAAATAATTTAATTCGATTCAAATAAATATATATAATAATTCGATTCGATTCAATTCGATTTTCTAACGTAATTGTATCATAAATAGCTTACACATTATACACACTATACAAACTATACAAGATCGCTACAATTAACTATCATTACTCTTTCACTTTACAAGATAGATAATGGAAGGAAAGAAAAATAATATAAGATAATTAAATTAAATTGTTTTTTAATATTAAATTGTTAGTAATTAATATTATTTTTTCTATAATTATCAAATAAGTTGGATTAAAAAATGATTAATTTGAGTTTTATGATGCATTATTATATATTTATGAAATATCAAATTACTTATGACATATTATAAACTAAATAATATGAAGGTGCATATTTTTGTTTTTGGTTACAATGATGTCAAATTTTATATAAAATCACATTTGTTAATTATTTTAAAATATATGTAAAACTAAAGGCATTTTACCGTTAGTGATATGTGAAAACGTGATCCTTCAATATAATTTTTTGGGCTTCGTACTTTCTCGAAGGATGTCAATCTTTCTGTCCATAAACCAGACTATATAGAGCTTGAATTTTACTCTCCCTAGCAAATGATTTATTCCTTTGATATAAATGACATGGTTTATCCAATCTAAGACTTGATTTTGTCTGCTTCACACAAAGTGGTCTCACTAGTGAAAGTGCTTGATGGGTCATTGTTGATCATGTCGTGTGACGCAACAAATTCCTGTTTAGCGTGGCGAGCGAGATGGGTCACTGATAGGAAGTCACAAACGATATTAAAGTGGACTTAAATTATGACATAACAATTCACAATCCCTCTAACACGAGGTTTGTAAAAGTGAAGTGGTTGAAGGAAAAATATAACGGTCCACGATTTCTCAAGCATGAGGATTGTAAGGGCAATTTGGTTTAAGAAAAAATATAACAATCCAACATTCCTCAAACACGAGATCTATAAGAAAAAAATGGTTTAAGAAAAAATATAACGATCCACGTCCCCTCAAAATTTGATTATGGTCGTCTAAATAGATCTAACGAATAATTTTTTAATCAATGGACTAGTTTAGAAGACTAAGTGTATCATTAATGATAAAAATGGTTAAAAATGTCTCGAGAAGGACCAATTAATCTGGGTTATCTACTCATTTTTATGCTACTGAGCAGAGCCATTGATACTCAGTACAACTCATGAAAGTTATATGCTATTGTCAACTACTCGAGCTTGAGGGGTTATCTCCCTATAAATATTAGATTATTGGCTTTCCATTCTCATCACATCATTTCCCAGTAATGGTTTTCACATAACAACAATTAATTTGTCTTTCCATTTTGTTTTCTTCTATGATCCTGATTTTCCTCACCTCCCCCACGAAGCCCAACCATATATACGTTCTTCTTGTACTATTTCACATATTATTTGGTTTCTTGTTTAGAAGATGGTATTCATTAGAGATTGTGACACTAGTTGTAATGTAGTTAAGCCTAATACATGCGAGGGGAAATAAGAGTTGAGAAACTGCTGTTGTGAGAGTTTAAGGCGAGTGGATGGCGAAGTGAATTTGAGAATTTTGAAATAGAGATGCTTAGGAATTATGATACTAGTTCTAGTAGCTCTGATAACAAAAATATTAGCAATAGTGATGTTATTTTAGTCTCTTTTTACTTAGGAATGAGGGGCTACTGATGGAGACATCAAATATGAGCTTATTGTCTTTTGTAATGAAGTGGCAAGCATCAGTTCTTTATATAATGTTGAAGCAAGGGTAAAGACTTTCTGTTTTTATTTTTATACAAATTTTTTAACCGATTTGGGGGTGGAAATCCCTCTCTCCATTCTCAAGGATGATGTTTTGAAGGCGATCAAAGTATCCCCTTCACAACTCAATCCAAAGAGTTGGGCCTTCATGAGGGGTTTCAAGATCATCTACTATACCCTTGAGATACCACCTACAGTGGGAATTTTGTTTTTTTTCGTTTTTATGTGACAAATGTGGTTGATAAGGGTAGTTGGGTTTCTCTAACCGCTATTTCTGGCGGGGTCTGCTCATCCTCTAATAGTCAAATTACAATAATTGAAAGGATAAGTTCTTTTGAGTCCAATGTTGCATCAATTGTCCAAATGTTATCTATGAGGAGAACGAATTAAATCAACTTCCCGTTGGTCGGGCGAGCCTATGTCGTAATTGGATTTCAACTAAGATAAACTTAGTGAGGCAGAGAAGGAGATTTTTAAGTTTTAAAAAATATTATGTGTTTTTATTATTAGAGAGTTGTTGGAGTGTAAGGAGGATAAACCATTATTTAAGTATGTTTTGTTTGTATCTGCCTTGTTTCTTCCTTATTTATTCTCTTTTTAACCTTTGATATTTTTATGCAAAGAAGATGGCTCACAAGTCATTATCAGAAAATAAAGTGACCCATCTACTTTTCTGACTCTTATTAGAAGAATAGGAAACTCTTGAACAAGAGCAAAATCATTCAGGCTATCCCACTTTGAGTATTGAGACGTCACCCTGTAGACACCTAATGTTGTCCTTTGGCTAAGAAACATAAGGTGATCAACTTGACGAGGGTTCATATCGACTTGGAGGCAAGTACCCTTATAAACTTGGAAAAAGGAGTTTCATTGGACAATGGTGTACTCTGATCCTCCCAAGGAGTAACTTTTGTGACTTATTATAGAACTCAAGAGGTTTCCTTCTTATGGGATAATGGATTCAAAGACATAAAGTTCATATACGATCACATTGATGCACAAAATGACCTACATATAGAGAGGAAATGAGATAGAGGTAGATTTTGCAAACTATGGGAACTTATAAGTTGAGGAGCACTCTTCTGGGAAGAGCTATGTTTGAAGAGTATGATCTAGAGGAGAAGAATGTGAGAAAAATATAAGACTAGTATGTGTAAGATGAAAGATAGCTTTTTATCTCAACAAGGTGTTGTTGGCCTTTGAGAAGGCAAATGCATAAGTTCTCTTCCTGCATCTCGATCTCAATTTGAGAGATCCTGAGATTTTCAAGGTTGTCCAATATGAAAAACTTGTCTATAAAAATGAAGAGAAAGATATGATTGTGGAAGAGGTTCTCCCCATCTTCTGGGAGAAAATCATGCCTACTTCAGATCATTCACACTCTAAAAAAGAGTTAAGAATTGTTTTAGTCGAGATTAGACCTACTATGAATGAGGATAATGCCTTCCTTGTGTCTGAGAATGTTGTTATCTTATAATTTTTTTAATTACTTTTGTAATCTTGCTCTTTTTAGGACTTAACTTTTGTAATATTGCCTTTATTAGGGCTTTAATGTTTATGAAATTTAATCTTTTTATGCTGTTATATGTTTTTTTTCCCCTCTTTTGAGAGGTAATACTTTTGACAAGTGTATGCTCATATATAGGGTTATTTTGAAAATTCAATTTATTTCGAAGGTAAGATTTAACTTGGACAAGAATTTTGGGCCAATAGCTTCCGATAGAATGTTAAAGTGCCATCGAGGGCGATATGGTAATACTTCCTACAAATAAAAGCAAAAAGATCTAAAAATTATTTATATAGAGAAATAATTTCTCTACTCATCACATAAAGTTGGGTAGTATACATTCCACCAACTAGTAACATTTAATTTTTCTTATATTTAATTATTTATTAAATAGTAGTTTTTTTTTTTTTTTTGTTGTTTTCAATATTTTTTACTCTAAAGAGTAACTCTATTTAACTTTTAAGTTAGGTAGATAAGAATTCACTTTTTATATAGAATAGACATGAATCACTTCACTTTAGCCAGACAAAAAAAAACAAGTTTTAAATGTTATTGAACAACTCCATAAGATCAACCAGCCAAACAATAAACTACTCCAAAATAAATCATCATAAATGCTAATTGAATTGATCAAACTAACCTCATAAAATTGGTCTATTTCGTCCTTCTCTTTTGCCTTGAATATCTGGTTCCACATAAAAACGTAAAATATTTATTATATAATCTAATTAAACTAAAAATATAACTAAACTTTGTCCGTTTCAAATTTAATTTAATTAAATTCATATACATATACACCTTAGTAAACAAAAATTTATACCTTGGGGCTATTGATAGGAGAACTTGCAGTATCTTCCAAATCATGATCAACCAAACTAGTTTTGATTTTCTTCCTCTTCTTGAGACTCAATCTTTTCATATACTCCATACCACCTTGTTCACTATGATCATTTAATTTGTTTTCATCACCATCAATATTATTATGATCATTGTTAATGAAATCCTCAAAGTATTTAGTCCAACTACTCTCTTCTGAGAACTCATTTAATTTGCTTATTGAACTCATTTTGAAAAACCAACAAAGATGAACGAATATATGATGTAATAATTAGTTGAGCTTGGTGGCTAGTTCTAACATGGAGCACATATAAAGAGTATATTCGAAATATAATAAGTTAATAATGAAGAGTTGATTAATATAGATAAATATGATGATGATGAAATGTATGACGACTTTGGAATCTTGAAAAACAAAATTAATAGAGTTTGACAATTTATATGGTGACAGATAGGGCATGCCCAACAAAGATATGCCTAACTTTTCTTTATGGTGGACTTAACTTTCTTCCACTATTGATTTTAATTAGTCATTAGTTTAGCTTAGTCACCATATAAACTAGAGAATACTGTATTAAGAATATGTAAGTATATAAATTCTTTTGTAAGTAGTTCTGATTAATTTAAAATAAAATGAAACTTATTATATATGCTAAAATATTTGAATTTAGTAGAAAGTGGCGTAATGTTTAATTCAAGATATTTAACTCCGTAAGATATTTTTAATGAGTAATTTTATTTAATATTAATTTTTTTTTAATTTTAAATTTAATATTGTAAATTAAAAAATTATCTATTGAAGTTATAGGAACACATACATGAACAAATAAATGTAGATACATCTTCAAAAAAATTGAATATTAATGTAACATATAATGACATTCAATATACAGTAGTACTACGCTCCTTTATAGTTAAGATCAGCAATGAGTGTCACTCAAAGTTTTGGTGATATTTACTTATAAAATATCGATTATCGATAATAAATTTTGAGTATTATAAGAAGTCAATTTTTTTAGAGATTGATTATCTTCTTAAAAATTTCAAGAGTTTTCTATAACATATAGTTTGTTTGGATGAAGCATTCTGATCTTATCGGATCAGAATTGGACCGTCACAGTTAGCTTGAACTGAATTTGAATGAGATGGAGGAGGGATACCTGCAAGACACTTCGATGATAAAATGAGAGACGGAATGGTCAGGCAAAAAGTATGTAGGTGCGTAATGAATGAATACCTGACCCTATTGAAGTATAGGGTATTTATAGTCCCCAGCGCTGGGCCAAGGTCCCTTTATTGGGCCGACCAGAACTGGCCCAACAAAGAGACTGCCAGGTTCTACGTGTGTAGTGGGGACCCGCATGTGGTCTCCTTCCTGGATGATGCTTTGCGAAGAATGAGGAAGAACGAAGACACGGTCTTTCCGGAGTTTTAGGGATCCCATAGCGTTCGGAGGGGACAGAGTCTGCCCTACGGGGAAGATGCTCGAGCAAGACTCGAGCTGGAGTGCCCTTGGTCGGGGACGTTGCTCGTTGCGGGTAGCGGCGGACATTACCGCTGTGGTCTGTGATTGGGCATGCTCGGGGTGGTCTGATTTCGAGCACTCCTCGAGGAGCTGCCTGGATCTGGGCCTTTACTTGTACTTTGGGCCAAAGCGGGCCCAGTCCAGAACAGGAGCCCCCCAAGTCGTTGTTCCTGGCACATGAGTTATGACTTGATCTCAGTTTGCTCTTTTCGCGGGGACCTCATGCCCGACACAGGGATGCGTCAGCTACGTCCGTCGTACACATGGTGTAGTCCTTGGAAATCGCAACGCCGCCCTAGTAAATAGGGCCATTATTGTCTAGGTGAGTAGGTGTCGAGGATGGGGGTGGTTTGTGGCTCCCCGGTGCGACGTTTCACATTTCACATCATCTCTATAAATAGGATCCCTGGGCCCATAATCTGTTTCACCTCTTCAGCTCCTCCTGCTTTCTCTGTTTTACAATCGTTGGTTCCCGTGACGCCGTTGAGACTGCCGCACCGTTCGCCGTCCAATTACTCCCACCACCATAGTTTCTACTCATCTTCTTCCAAGTAAGTTTCTTTTCTTCCTGTTTCCCTGTGTTGTAGATATTTTTGATGATGTTTTGATAATAGAAACCTGTATGCTGAGGTTATGCCCGATAGATTTAAGCGCGCTAGGCGCCTGATTCATGGCGGTGCTCGAGGCGTTTATAGGTTTTAGGCATGTGATTCATGATCTTTCCCGTGATACTTGTGCGTTTGGTCGGCATACTCATGAACTTGGCCGGGATATTCATCCTTTAGGGAGTAAGTAGGGTAGTCTCTTCGCAGTGTTCTAGCATCGGATAAGCGAAGTTAGGAACTTGGTCGCGTGATTCATGATTCGCCTGGGGCGCTCATGTTACGCTTGTGCCATCCATGATTGATGCATGGTTGGAGCTGGGGTGTCGGTGTTTGGCTTTAGTTTCAATCTGAGTGTTACATACTTCTCCCCGCCTTTGTAGCGAGCATGCGGATTTGCTGTCAAATTCACCAGTTTCCTGTACTTTGCAGGTAAATGGCCGATAACCCGGAGTCCTCGAGACATAATGACGTCGAGGAGGCAAGTACAACAGAAGAGAATGTTACCCTGGTCGACACCGTCGACGACCCCACACTGGACTGGGTGGGCGCTGAGCTCCGGGGAATTGCTTCGGCATACAGCCATCGTAGCCGGCGAGCTTATACCATCGTTGAGCATGGCGGTACTCAGGAAGGATTTCGAAAGGAATTTTAAAATAATGGGGCCGACGAGTGATGCTCGCATCTGCTCGGAGTTCACTGAATATGTGTTCCCTATGTATGAGATTGTATTCAGGGATCTTGGTCTTAGGCTGCCTTTTAGTGACTTCCAAGTCGGGGTGTTCAGTCATCTAAACCTGGCTCCCTCGCAGCTCCACCCCAACGTGATCGCCTTCCTCCGGGCGTTCGAGCTAACCTGTTGTTTCCTGAGAATTGGGGCGATGATTCCCCTGTTCTTCAGGGTTTTTCATCTGCAATATCAGTCTCGAGGAGGCAAGCATAACTGGGTATCCCTTAAGCAGTCGAAGAGACTGTTTAGGATGTACATGGACTCAGTAAGGGATTTCAAAGACAAATGGTACGTATTGCAGCCGGCCACCCAAACGGCCCCGGATTCTCTATTCGAGCCGGAAACTGTGGTGGTCGACGGGGACGGGGATCCCCTTTTGGATGTTGAGGGTAGTCCCGCAGTCGGGCGGATTTCCAGGTTCCCTATTCATTGGTGCTCGGGTCATTATGAGCATGGCACCGGGTACTATCATACCCCTGCGAGGAGTATGAGTGCCGAGGATGAGGAGGCCTATGCTGTCCTTTGTAAGTTTGTTGATGGCTTTTTCCCCGCTCGGTGGGTCACGAGGGAAGGGGACGACATTCTCGATGAGGATGGCTACCCGATGTTCGAGGCGCTCCCTATCAATACCAAGGCGCTCGTTGAATGCCAATCCTACGGGCAGGCCGTAGATCTCCCAGGTTTCTTGCTTTTGCTCTTATTGTTATTCCATTTCAATTGCTTTTAATTGCTTGTAGCTAACCCTAGTTCGCACTTCTTGCAGGTCACATGGCGGAACGTCGAGAGAGGTTGCTGAAGTTGAACCAGGATAAAAAGATAAGCAAGAGGCTGGTGAGACCACAATAGGCCACGCGGATGGGCCCGCCCGCTGATTCGGGCAGAGACACGTCCAGTGAGTCCTCGGGTTCTCCCGATGCCGAGCAACAGACCGAGCCGGTTGGCAGGAAGAGGGATCGGACAGAGAGCAGAGCGGAAACTGGTGATGAGCCCGTAGCTGCCCGGGCTTTTGGCTTACCGCCTTGCTTTGTAGAAAAGGATTTCTTCGAGGGGTTTCCTCTGGCAGTGTTTGATAACGAGGCCGACATCATTAAACGGCTCGACAAAGAAGGCTGGAGGAAACACCTCGCCGCTAGCATGGTCGGTGTGGTGAAGATGGCCAAGATGGTTGTGGTCCTTGCAGGGTGTGATACGATGGCCAGAACCGGACTGTTTTTGGAATGTTGGTTTGCGTTTTGCGTTTGTTTTCGCAAAATGTCGCGGTAAGCAAGAGTCACCACCGACTTTTATTTTATCCAACAAGGAAAGGAAAAAAGCACAGAAAAATTCCCTTTTCGAGATATTTCTGAGTACGGGGGGTAGATTATAGAAAGGGAAGGTATTAGCACCCATTCTATCTGTAGTTATCTACGGGCTCTTAGGTACTTGCTCATCATTTTCAAAATTGTTTTCTTTGTGTTTGTGGGTTTTGAAAAGTTTTTGTTTTAACTTCGATTTAACTCTCGCTTCTGTCTTCAAGAGTGTAATGTAGTGTTTTTGAAAACATTGTTTGTAAAGGAGTGTAAATGTGAAATGTTTGTTTGGGATGAGCAAGTACTTAAGAACTAATCTACCTACTCGAAAAAAGAATCGTTCTATGCTTGTTTCCTTTAGACAATGCTATCCCACTATTAGTGAGTAGGTAGCACCGTCGTTGGAGTTTTGAGGGTCAATTCAAAAGGGACATACAGTCACTAAAGCAACGTTAAGACGTCTTAGTGGTAACCCTAATATCTTAGATCATTTATCCGAAGCAACAATATCCGAGGAAACCTTTTCGAGGCAACTATGATCTTTTAGACAAGAGGACGACCTCTAAAACAACATATACTCAATGACTGTTTTAACAAAGGCAACCCAGTGGGAGTGTACCCTAGGAGTGCGTGTGTGCGAGTGATTCAGTTTCAGTTTATTTATCTTTGCACATGTTTAGGGTGATCTAACTGTTTTAAGATTGGACATACATTCTTGTCATACAAATCCTATTATCAAACATCTAACAGTTAAATATTTGCAGAAATTAAAGTGTGGAATTTAAACTAAGCTATTACAAGGCTTCGGGTATTTACATAGCCAAAAACAAACCCTTTGAAATTAAAAGCGGTAAAAATAAATAAATGTCCTAATTTAATTATTACAAACCGGGAGCAGATACAATAATTGGGTAAAAAATAAAGCGCGCGAGAAAATTACATCGAATGCGAAATTAGGGTTTTGACCCTTCTATCCTAATTAAAAGAGAAAATTGTTTTTTGTTGTTTTAAAAAGAAATAAGTTTTTCTAATTTAAATGCTAAATTAATTAATTATTAAATTAATAAATGAAAATAATTAAAA